TTGGGGGTCAGCTGAGCCTGGGACCTGCACCCTTTACACCTAGGGCCTGGGGCCTTACCTGCTGGCATTGGGAGGAACCACACCACGAATTCTCAGCACCGTGCCAGGGTGGATGCCCTCGGGCAGCGAGGTCTTGTGGGGGACGTTCTGCAAGAGTGGGGTGCGGGGGCCACTGTGAGCCAGTGAGACAGAGGGAGGGAGACAGAAGGTAGGCCGCCTCTCAGAGGAACCAACCATGACTGAGACTGGCAGAAATCAGTGGGAGAGAAAAGGGTGGCAGAGAGGCAGGAAAGAGATGGGGAGAGCAACAAGGAAAAACAGGAAAATGCTCAGAGGGAGCCAGAGGAAGCCACGAAGGGGGACAGGGGACAATCAGGATCGGGGGCCACCCAGAGGCCAGAGCCCAAGACCACCCACGGTGCACCCACTGCCCACTTGCTCCTTTGAAAGGGAGCCCCCAGTCCCCTCCCTACAAGGCCCCGCCCTGGGCCCCTGGAGCACTCACGGACATGGCTGGGACAGGGTCAGGCAGCGGTGGCGGTGGGGACTGCTGGGGACCTTAAGTAAAAGTAGGGCGGGGCTGGCCCTGATGACTCACCCCACCCCTTCCCACCCACCACCCACACCTGGCACAGACCCTGGCCCTGGGGCAGGGCTGGTGAGGCGGCAGTGGTGCCTCTTCCTGGGAGCCCTGCTCCCCTCCACCACCCAGGGCCCGCATGCCCTGCCTCCTCCTAGGAGCTGATAATAAGAGGGACCGTTTAATAATAATAAACTCACAGCAGAGAAGGCTCCTTGTGCCACTGCCCTCCAGCCCTGTCTTCCTGCTGCCTGGCACACAGAGAGCCTCTATCTCATTTTATACACAGACATGATGGGTCCCGAGAAGCCAAGCTGGGTGGGAACTCCAGACCCTTCCTTCCGGCTGAGAACCTCCTGCGCCTGGACTTGGGGTGTCCGCGCTGAAATCCCAGCTTCCACATCTGTAAGGGAACAGTGGCAATAGTGACAGACAGGGCGGCTTCACAGAGTCGGGGCTGAGGGGCTGCCTGGTCCACTCAGCGCTGCACCCCAGGTCCTGAAGTCTGCACAGCACGTGGTAAGTCCTCAGTGAGGAGGGGTGAAAGGAAGGGAGCCTCTAGGACTACCCTGTCATTTCCTAGGCCTCTGGGCTGCCCAGGATATGCAGGAAATCACTGATTGCAGCCTCATAATTTTTTTTTTAATTTTGTGAAGGAGTCTTGCTCTCTTGCCCAAGCCGAAGTGCAATGGCATGATCTCAGCTCACTGCAACCTCCACCTCCCGGGTTCCAGCAATTCTCCTGTCTCAGCCTCCTGAGTAGCTGAGATTACAGGCACCCACCACCATGCCTGGCTAACTTTTTAATTTTTAGTAGAGATGGGGTTTCTCCATGTAGGTCAGGCTGGTCTCTTAACTCCTGACCTCAAGTGATACAGCCACTTCAGCCTCCCAAAGTGCTGGGATTACAGGTGTGAGCCACCACACCCGGCCATGCACCCCCATAATTCCAATAGGGAGGAATATGGGTTGCCCCCATTGTACAGAGGAGGAGGCTGGGTCTGGGATGGGAAGCGATTTTCCACAAGCCATGCAGGACCCTCTGCCCTGACCTCTGGCTCTCCTCACCTCTGACTGCACTTCTCCTGTGGGTTCTGTCTCTGGGGCTGGCTGCCTCGCTCTGTCCACTTCTCCCGTGGGTTCTGTCTCTGGGGCTGGCTGCCTCGCTCTGTCCACTTCTCCTGTGGGTTCTGTCTCTGGGGCTGGCTGCCTCGCTCTGTCCACTTCTCCTGTGGGTTCTGTCTCTGGGGCTGGCTGCCTCGCTCCGTCCTCTGTCTCTAACCCTGCCTACGGCGTATTCTTGTCTCACTTCTCTCCGTCAAATCTCTCTCTTGTTCCTCCTTTTAGTACTGTTACTATCATCCCACCAAGCTTACTGGTCAGGATGAGGTGGGTTTTATGGTGGTGGGTGGCCCAACCCCCCATCACCACCCAGACCCAAAACACAGCAAAGTGAGGACCCTCTGCCAGCCCTGATATAGCCCCCTTGGGCCCAAGACTCTGGAAGAGAATCCAGGGTTGGGAAAGTAGATTGGGGGAGGGGCGGGCAGGACTGAAAGATGTTTCTGGAAGGCAGGGATGGTGTGGGAGCTGAACAGAAACTTCTCCTGGCTGGGTGTGGTGGCTGATGCCTGTAATTCCAACACTTTTGGAGGCCAAGGTGGGCAGATCGCTTGAGGTCAGGAGTTCGAGACCAGCCTGGCCAGCATGGTGAAACTCCTTCTCTACTAAAAAAATATAGAAAATTAGCTGGTCGTGGTGGTGGGTAATCCCAGCTACCTGGGAGGCTGAGGCAGGAGAATTGCTTGAGCTGGGGTGGCGAAGGTTGCAGTGAGCCAAGATCACACCAAGGCACTCAAGCCTGGGTGACAGAGAGAGACTCCGTCTCAAAAAAAAAAAAGATGCTGGGCGTGGTGGCTCATGCCTGTAATCCCAGCACTTTGGGACGCCGAGGTGGGTGAATCACACTGTCAGGAGTTCAAACCAGCCTGGCCAATATGGTGAAACCCCGTCTCTACTAAAAATACAAAAAATTAGCTGGGCGTGGTGGCGTACGCCTGTGATCCCAGCTACTCCAAAGGCTGAGGCAGAGAATTGCTTGAACCTGGGAGGCTGAGGTTACGGTGAGCCGAGATCCTGCCACTGGACTTCAGCCTGGGGGCCAGAGTGAGATTCCATCTCAAAAAAAAAAAAAAAAAAAAAGAAAAGAAAAAAGAAACCACTCTTAGCAGCCCAGCAGCCCTCCTGGACCTCTTCTACCCCCCACCCAACTCCTGCCCCACCCAGCAGGCTGCTGAGAGGCCTGGGCAGAGGCAGGCTGGCAGTGAAAAGTTTGGGTGGAGATACCAGGCCCAGAACCATCCTCCACCCTCTGTGTCCCAGGCCCCCACCCCCTAGCCCCCTCCCCACACGCTCAAGGCAACAAGCTGGGGACCAGTTCCTGGGAACATGAACTCAGAGAGGGAGGCTGGCAGTTGGCATTTTGGTGAGGACTGCAAGCACCCCCATTCTGCAGGGGAGAAAACTGAGGCTTAGATAGGGACAGCCTTTCAGCCAAGGAGGCGGCCAGGCCCTGGGCTCCAAGGGGTCTCTGTGCCAAGGACACATCATGGGCACAGACAGAGAGGACACAGGGTGTCAGGTGATCATACTACCAGCTCAGTCAGGTCCCAAGAATGTTCCCTTGAATGGTGGACTCTATCTTTCTAACATTAGTCACCATTCTAAAGAAGACACTCCTTGGCCAGGCGTGGTGGCTCACGCCTGTAATCCCAGCACTTTGGGAGGCTTAGGTGGGTGAATCACCTGAGGTTGGGAGTTCGAGACCAGCCTGGCCAACATGGAGAAACCCTGTCTCTACCAAAAATACAAAGTTAGCCAGGCGTGGTGGTGGGCTCCTGTAATCCCAGCTACTAGGGAGGCTGAGGCAGGAGAATTGCTTGAACTTGGGAGGCGGAGGTTGCAGTGAGCCAAGATGAAGACATTGCACTCCAGCCTGGGCAACAAGAGCAAAACTCCATCAAAAAAAAAAAAAAAAAAAAGAAGACGATGACACTCCTCACATTACTGATGCCTCATGCTGTGTGCCAACTTTTTAGTGATTGCTTCACTCTGGCTGGATGTAACTTCACATGCAGCCAACCTGCAAGTCCCAACGTGCCTTTGCTGACTGGCCAAGGGTTTGTGTTCTCTCTGTTATCAGCTTGAAGTCCTGACTGCTTTCTGGTAACAGATCTGCGTCCTAGATGGTGTTTTCTTTTAGACAGAGTCTCGCTCTGTTGCCCAGGCTGGGGTGCAGTGGTGCGATCTCGGCTCACTGCAACCTCTGCCTCCTGGGTTCAAGTGATTCTCCTGCCTCAGCCTCCCGAGTAACTAGGATTACAGGTGCTCACCACCATGCCCAGCAAACTTTTTGTTAGAGATTGGGGTTACTTCATGTTGGACAGGCTGGTCTCCATCTCCTGACCTCAAGTGATCCACCCACCTCGGCCTCCCAAAGTGCTGGGATTACAGGCATGAACCACCATGCCCAGCCCTTGATGGGTTCTTTTTTTTTTTTTTTTTTTGATTTTGTGAGTCGGAGTTTCGCTCTTGTTACCCAGGCTGGAGTGCAATGGCGTGATCTCGGCTCACCGCAACCTCCGCCTCCTGGGTTCAGGCAATTCTCCTGCCTCAGCCTCCTGAGTAGCTGGGATTACAGGCACACGCCACCATGCCCAGCTAATTTTTTCTATTTTTAGTAGAAACGGGGTTTCACCATGTTGGCCAGGATGGTCTCGATCTCTTGACCTCGTGATCCACCCGCCTCGGCCTCCCAAAGTGCTGGGATTACAGGCTTGAGCCACCGCGCCCGGCCTCCCAGCTCCTTTTTGTTTTTCTTTTTTCCTAGAGAGGAGGTCTTACTATGTTGCCCAGGCTGGTCTCAAACTCCTGGGCTCACGCGATCCTCCCACCTTGGCCTCCTAAAATGTTGGGATTACAGGCCTGGCCACAGTAATATTTTTGTGAGTCTTTTTTCAGTTTGAAACAACTAATGTATTTAGTTCCCAATTGTTATTTCATTGAGGTATTTTTCCCATTAAATAAAAGTTTAGTTTTTGTTGTTGTGGTTGTTTGGAGACAGGGTCTCGCTCTGTCACCCAGGCTGGAGTGCGGTGGTATGACCTCAACTTACTGCAGCCTCTGCCTCCCGGGTTCAAGTGAGCCTCCCACCTCACCCTCCTGCATAGCTGGGAATCCAGGAGTGAGCCGCCACACCTGGTGGATTTTGTATTATTTTGTACAGATGGGGTTTCGCCATGTCACCCAGGCAGTTCTCAAACTCCTGGGCTCAAGTGATCCACCTGCCTTGGCCTCCCAAACTGCTAGGATCCTAGGTGTGAGCCCCTGTACCCAGTCAAAGGTTCAGATTTTAACGGAATAATTCAATGAGTTTTGACACATGTAGTCACCTGTGTAACCACCTCCCCAATCAAGTTTCCTGGTGAAACAGTCTGCTCCTTCTGCCATAGGAAGCCACTCCTGAGCAGTTAGTAGCCACAAAGTTTCCACTGATGCATTGTGGTGGTGTGTGGCTGTAGTCCCAGCTACTCGGGAGGCTAAGGCTGGAGGATCACCTGAGCCCTGGAAGTCGAGGCTGCAGTGAGCCGAGAGCACACCACTGCA